CTGCCTAGAATTGCAATGTTTTTTAAAAAGCTCTATCAAGCTCTAATCTGAAATTGATAAAACAATAACTTTTATTTATTCAGACTCGGTGGGACTGAAAACTACCTACAGAGCTTCTTCAGACGTTATGCATTAAATATGCTTTGATTATTTTAAAATAAGTAGTGCTTAACATTTTCAAGAAATGAGGACTTCTGTTTTTCAGCTTTCCATCCAGAAAGCTGAATGTTTTATAAGAAAATTCAGGTTGCAGGTTTATGCAAGGAACCATGTAATGTTTCTAAATGGGCGCCATATGGAACAACAGAAGATTACGCTTGGGTCACCCTTGAATGTTTCCATGCGCCTCTTTATTCAGATCAGGACTGTGGTGCCATTTTAGAGAGTGCCGTTTGGGGTCATTCTCGGGAAACTCTTTTATGTTGCTATGGAGTATCATTTTTGTCCAGTCCTGTACTATTGCTCTATCCATAAATCCATGAGTGTTTCCTTTCCTTTACTGAAGTCCTCTTGATGGTGTAAATTAGCAGTGGAAACAGAACTCTACAGAACTCTGAGGGCAGCCTCAGAACCTACGCAAAATGGAAACATTTTAAAAGCCAAAATGAGGGTTTAGTCATGAAGGATGACAGGGCTGGTTTGGTGCAGTGGTTAAGGCGTCAGGCTAGAACCCCGGAAGCCAGGCGCTTTAACTGATCTAGGCGGCCTTGGGCCACTTAGCCCTTCCCAGCCCCAGGGAAGAGGGAATGGCAGGGACTCATCCAGACCAGGGCTCACCCTAACCCAAACAAACAAACAAACAAACAAATCCTTGCAGAAACTGGAAACTGGAAACATCCCTTAAAAATCCTGGAAACTGCTCAACTCTCAGGCTAATTTCTCTCAGTTTAACAGGCAAATGTTGGGGCCAGAGCACCAAATCTTTCCCAAAACTTTACACCGACCACAAAGATTCAGAGAAAGTAGCCCTCCTGAGCTCTGTTTTCCAGTCATTGCAGAATATTTTTCCCACATCCGGGGCAGATACTTGGTGAAATGTGCAGTAATGTGTGTAATAAATCCTTCACTGGCATGAATTCATAGTCCCATGTAGTCATCAGAATTCAAACCTCTTGTAGAAGCCCTGGTGGTGCAGGATTGCAGGCCAATCCTGCTGGCTGCTAGCAGTTCGATCCCGACTGGCTCAAAGTAGACTCAGCCTTTCATCCTTCCGAGGTTCGTAAAATGGGGACCCGGATAGTTTTGAGGGCAACATGCCAATAATTCTTACATTATAAACTGTCCAGAGAGGGCTGTAAAGCACTGTGGGGTGGCACATAAGCCTAAACGCTACCTTCCCTTGATGCTTTCCTGCTATAATTGCTACTGCAACGAGGCTGCTACAGTTTGTGGGAAAGTGTTTGATACGATTGAAGGGCCAATGGCCACACAGAATATTCAACTCTACATCATGGACTCTTGGGGATTGCACTGGAATGAAAGGGGGGGTGAGATTCGTCAGATCTACTGCAGCAGCTCATCTGTCTGGCTGTGGCCCATAAAATCCATTAAATTCGTATGTGACATGCACAAAGAATCAGGATATGTTACATTACAGATTTCTTGCTCCTATTCAAGAATCTACTCAACTAGCAGCACTAAATGGGCGCTAGACAACAGAGAGGTCTAGAAAAAAGGTGGGACAAGTTGAAGTGTCTTCCTTCAAGGATCCAGGTAGCCAAGGGTGATTGCTGGGGTGACCTATTCTCTCATTCTCCCTCTCTCTCTCCCCGCTCCAGAGAGAGAGAGAGAGAGAGAGAGAGAGAGAGAGAGAGAGAGAGAGAGAGAGAGAGAGAGAGAGAGAGAGAGCTCCTGTGATCGCCTAGCTAGCAGAGCAGTCCTTTGTTGTAAGAAAATGCCAGTATTTTGCGGCTCAGAAAGAGCTCCCGAGAGCCCTGCAAACATTCTCTCCCATCCCAAACCAAGGAGAAAGAAGAGGGTGAAAGTTTGTTTCTTTCTCTTTGTCCCAAACCATGTGAACATTTTTGGCCTTAACCTTCTAGTCGTGAACTCTGTGGAATCGCTGGCTCGCGTCATTCCTGCACAAGTTGTGTCTGCTTCCCTCTGCCTTATCTCGGTTTTCTAGGTTGCCAATCTTTGCTCGGACACTTGCCTTGCGTTTTAAAAGGGTATTTTTGTGGTCTTGCACTGTAGAAATGTGCTGCAAAGAGGCCAGGCCTGTTTTCCTGCTGCAGATGGGAACCTCTTTTTCCTCACTCGACCCCCAATTTTGCAGGCCTCTCTCTCTCTGCTTTGGCTTGGAGATGTGCCCGAGGAAGGAATTCTGCGACTTCATGTGCTTCTTAGCTTAGTCGTGTTTTCTGTCTGAAGTTAAACTAGAAGAAAACTGAGGTTGCTCTTAAAGATTCTGAAGGCTTCCTTAGGGCTGGATGACCTGGGTTCAAGTCTCTTCTCTGCCAGAGGGCCCCCTGCGTGGTTATAGCATCGGATGGAGACCTTAAAGCAGAGGTCGACTTTTAAGACTTGTGGACTTCAACTCCCAGAATGCTCCAGCCAGCAAAGCTGAAGTCCACAAGCCTTAAAGTTGCCAAGTTTGGGGATCCCCGCCTTAAAGAGTTGCAGAATTCCACCCTGTGTGCCTTTAAGGCAGAGAAGAAGTCAGTGCAGATCAGTGGTGGGATTCAAATTTTTTTTTACTACCGGTTCTGTGGGTGTGGCAGGGGAAGGAGACTGTAAAATCCCCCCCTCCCGTCAGAGGCGGTATTTGCCGGTTCTCCCAACTACTCAAGATTTCCGCTACTGATTCTCCAGAACTGGTCAGAATCTGCTGAATTCGCCACCTCTGGTGCAGACCAATGGGGGCAGAGCGGAGGCCAGGCAGAAGCCAGTTCTCTGCCGAGTGAGCCTTCCTGCGGGGAGGCAGGAGGCTTCAGGAATGCCAGAGGGAAGCAGGTCAGCAGAAGGTAGACGTGAAGAGCTGGCTGGGTGGCCGAGAAGCCCCTTGGGAGAAAGGGTTGCCCCAGAGCACAAAGCGGGACAAGGAGTCCGCATCGGGTGATTTAAATTAAAAAAAAAAAGCCAACAACTCTCAAAACGTTGAATTGAACATTTTATTTGGCCAAGTGTGATGAGACATACAAGGAACCTTTTGGGAAGAACAAGAGTTGGAGTGCTTGCCTTCCCGGTTTGGACGGTGTGATTGGAACTCATTGCTTTGGTGTCCTTGTCAGTCCTGGCCTGCCAGCCGCAGAGGGGATCAGAAGCAGCTCCCAGGGACGCACCTATGTTTAGAAGTCCATCCTAGTTTGTGTGCCCGGTTCCTCTGGTGTACCTTGCCTCTCTCCCCCCTGTCTGGCCTGGGGGGTGCCTACGGTTGCCTTCTCTCTCCATTACGCTTCAAGAATTTGTGCGGGAATTATTTGCCAGGGGCACCTAAGATCTAAGTGGCCACGGAAGTGATTTCCCGCACAAGAACAGATACTATATGAATGTCAAAGTTATCCTTGAAGAGTTATCCTTTTCAGGTAGTATTGTAGGAATACGTGCACATGTAAATATTGTGTACGTGATCGTTAATGTTGTTCTCCGCTTGCACTTACGTTTTTCTTTGAGTAAATGTCTGGCGAGCACTTTAAAGACGAAGAAAATCTTTGGGAGACTTGGTGACACTTTTTTTTTTTTAACCAGGCTGGTGTGTTCATAGGTTTATAAATTTGGACATGGTGAAACAATTGCTGTATTGATCTAAGGTTCGCTTCCCCAGTCAGCTATGAAACTGACAGAGGGCCCTTTTTGATTGGATGGCAGAAGGAACGATTCTCTCTGGAACGATCCCTGTCCCAAGCCCTTCTGGGGGATAATCGGTGCCTTCAAATGCCACTTGGAAACAAGCTGGCAATCAGCATTGCCCCTCCTACAAGAACAACGCAAGGGGACAATTATGGGTCTGCCTGCCATTGAAAAGGCAGCTGGTTCTACACCAACCGAGGTTGCTGAGTGCTGCTCAAGTGCAGCCCCCATGCAGAGCAAACCACAGAGGTTGGACCTGCCTGTGATTGCAGCACTCAGCAACCTCCAAGCTAACCTCCCTCCAACCTTCCTCACATGAACAAGGAAGGTGCCCAAAAAAGGGAAAGGATCCAATCTTTTGCCCATTGAATCTACATCTGCACGGGGCAGAATTGAAGAGATGCTTCCATCTTTTTGCCAAGGGTTACAAATGCATTTGTATTTCACCCTCTGTCCTGGGTTGTCATTCCTTTAATATAATTTTTGTTGAAGACATCTCAGTAAAAATTGAAATGTCAAAAGGTATTTGCAGGAAATGGGAGAGATTCTCTTAACCCTTTTCCTAAACGATCACAAGGAGACATTTTAACACGATTAAAATCTATATGGATGATTACAAAAGAAAATAAGGAAGAATCGTGAACAATTTTGAAAGGAAAAAAAGAACAGAAAGGTGGACGCTCTTCTTTCTTGATAGCCGCTATTCTGTTGAAAGCCTCTATTTATTTCTAACATGAAAGAACTAATATTTGGCTGTACTAAAACAAAAAGGTAAAATAGAATTGTGGCAATCCTGACGCTTCTCCCCAGAGGCCGAGGCTGCACATCTAAAGAGGAAGGGAACCTCGAGGGAGGCAGGAGAAGGAACAAGTTTTACTCTTCTGTCCTAGGGAGCTCAATGCTGCCGCCACTCAAAAGGTGTTTGCAGGAAATGGGAGAGATTCTCTAAACCCTTTTCCTAAATGATCACATTTAGAAAATGGGCAGGACTTCCAAGAAGCCCTGGGCCAGTACGAGGCCCCCGAAATCACCGAGGACCTACGCAGATTCCGTCTCTGGCTGTGCTCTTGGGAGGCCCTTAGAGAAGGTTGATAGGCAGCCGGGATTCCTTGTTGGGGTTTCAAGCTTAGGGACTCCTGGTGAAGGCTGGCTCCTCCTGAATCACCTGCTAATGCTTCTTTTTTCCCCCCTTTTCTCTTTTGCCTCCAAAGGCTGGAATCCGGGAGGGACCATGTTCTGCCCATTGACTATTACTTCCCACCACAGAAGACATGCCTGATATGTGGGGACGAAGCTTCAGGATGCCACTATGGAGCCCTGACCTGCGGAAGCTGCAAAGTCTTTTTCAAAAGGGCAGCTGAAGGTAAATTAATTCTTAATTTATTTGTCCCCTGGAGAATGAGACCGCTGGGGGTGTGTGGGGGGGGCGTGATGTCTGTATTGCTGTAAAGATCACTCCAGACACCGTTGTTTACTAAAATATTGCAGAATAGGGCTGGCTTGCGTGAAGGGCCCACCTGTCGGAGATAGGCCTCCAGGGAGAACAGTCCCCTGCCTCATTGAGACCAGGGGGCCTTGGGTCACAGTGGGCCCCCACGGAGCGCTCTCTAGTTTCTTCTCTCCCGGGGCGGAAGGTCGAAGGGAGCAGCCGCCTTTCCTCAGTCAGATGTCCGCCTCCCCCTTGCCTTCCCCGGGCCTCCCATTCTTGCCAGTGCTGGCAATGGGGGCCTAGGAGAAAAGAGGGGGATGAGATGGGTTGGGTTGGGGAGTGTGGCATTGTGTGGCACTGTGCTTTCATTCTATTTCTCCCCCCCCCCCATGAAAACAGGAGGGTAGTTTAGCTAGTAAATCATGAATTCACTGTACTAGCCCCCAAAGGTGATTTTACTCCGTTGGAAGCTCTTCTTAGTCCTGTGATTGGTGTAGTTTTTATTCCTCAGTAGGCTGAGTGGAAAGAAAGCATCTTGAGCTTTAAAGGCTCAAGGAAGAGAAAAGGCCCAGCGGTTCTGTGCCAATATATTTGGTAATATAAGTACGGCTGTAAATCAAGGTAACACAGCTGCAGTTTTCAGAGGGCATCTAACCGGCACCAGTCATAATTTTTCTCCACTAAATCCACTAAAGCTCCAGCTTCTGGCAATAATCAGTCATCTACTGGTTTTTTATGATATCATTTAGCAAAGAAGCACTTCTTAGCCAACCAGCCAGTGCACTTGTGATTGGAAGTCAGCTGTGTCCCGTATATTTTCCTTTCAGTCATTGAGGAGGTTTCTGTGCTCCAATTCTGGCACAACATTTGTAATTGTGCCTCAGGTATTTGCCCGAAAACTGCTGGAACCATTTGGATGGGTTTGCTAAAAGTTCTTTGAGTTGCTGTATTTCTGGACACCTGACAGATGGTGAGCGTAACAGGTCCATGGCCTCTCAGATTGAACCTCTGTGAGGACTATGCCAGACTTGTCCCTTGGCTCCATCAGGGAAGTTTAATCAGCTGTTTACTTAGCCTGCTTCTCCCCACTGAAGAGGGGCAGAGGCCAAGAAGGACCCATGGGGGGAATGGCCTTTGCAGAGAGTAGCAGGGTCCCAGAGGAAAACGTGCCCCATTGCAAGTGGCTAAAGAGAGCGGAGAGTCTGGCCGGCAGTGCTTTTTTGTTCCTCCAGCTGGGAGATTAAAAGTAACGACACAATTGTCCCAACCCCAAACATGATCCAGGTCCAGCCCTGAATGGAACAGAGGAGTCACTTCTTCTCTCTATCACCTGCTGCAAACAAGGCCTCTTTAGTCTCACCCGTTTGCCGCTTCCGGTGGGTCTTTTTTGCTCCTCGATCTCCTTTTGTTTAGCCAGAGATCTCTCGGCTAGGATCTTGCCTTTTATCAGTTCTCCTCCTAAAGGCCTTTTTATTCCGTATTAGCATAAAACAGAAGAAACATCTTCCATATTTTGGAACTAGGGGGCGTGGGGGAACAGATTATTCGATTTTGAAAATGCTTTCTTCTTATGTTGTCTGTGAGAGGGAAACCAAACTGGATTTCCAAACGCCTTTCTCGTCATCTCCTATGTAATTAACAAATATTTGCACTGTTAAATCTATTGTGCCTTTGCTGTGTAAAACTCTTGCTTAGTTCTCTCAGCCCTTTGGGTCTCATTCTCCCCCTCTGCCAAAAAAAGGCATCAGAACAGCTGTTCACAATTGGTTTGGAAATATCACACGGATTTCAGAAGAGGATTAAGAGTAAGACCCTCTGGTTGAGTGGCAGATAAAAGGACGGGCTTAGAACATCATCAGTGTTGGAAGGGACCATGGAGGTCTTCTAATTGAACCCCGTGCTCAAGCAGGAGACTATATACCATTTCAGACAAATGGCCATCCAGTCTCTTCTTGAAAACCTCCAATGAAGGGACACCCACAACCTCTGAAGGGCAAGTCATTCCACTGGTTGGTTGCTCTCAGTGTCAGAAAATTTCTCCGTAGTTCTGGGTTGCTTCTTTCCTTGGTTAGTTTCCAACCATTGTTTCTTCTCTTGCCTTCTGGTGCTTTGGAAAATAAGGACCTCCCTCTTCTTTGTGGCAGCCCCTCAAATATGGGAGCACTATTACCAAGTCAGCTCTTTCCACTAGATCAGACGTAAGCGATTCCTGCGGCCATTCTTCGTGTTTTAGCCATCCCCCTAATCATCTTCGTTGCTCCCTCTGCACTCTTTCCAGAGTTCCAACATCTTTTTCATATTGTGAGGACCAAAACTGGATGCAGTATTCCAAGTGTGGTCTTAGTGTGAGACATTGCAAAGTGGTACTAATACTTCAGGTGATCTTGATTCTACCCCTCTGATAATGCCACCTATGATTGCATCGGCTTTTTGGGTTGCTGTCGCACAGATTTAAGTGATTGCCCACCAGGACTCTTAAGATTCCTCTCACAGTTACTGCTGCTGAGCCAGGTATCACCTAACCTGTACCTGTACATTTGGTTCCTTATTTTTCTCTACACTGAACTTTGTTTTGTTAGATAGGGCCCAATGTCCAAGTCTGTCAAGATTCATCTGGCTCTTGAGCCCGTCTTCTGGGGTGTTCCTGCCAGTTTGGTGCCATCTGCACATTGGATGAATTCCCCTCCTGTCCCTTCATCTAAATCAGGGGTATCCAACCTTGGCAACTTTAAGCCTGGAGGACTTCAACTCCCAGAATTCCCCAGCCAGCAAAGCTGGCTGGGGAATTCTGGGAGTTGAAGTCCTCCAGGCTTAAAGTTGCCAAGGTTGGACACCCCTGATCTAAATTGCACATGAAGACATTGAAAAGTTCTGGGCCTAAAACGGAAGCTTGGGATCCCCCACTGCTTCCTATGCGCGTATGTATCAGGACTACAGGCACTGAAGAGGACTTGACGGGGGGCTTCGTCCTCAAATGGCCCCAGCACCAGCGTCCTGAAAGACCCTGGAACAGCAACGGGTTGCTTATCTGGGCTGTTCTCCTATGAGACCTGAAGTGCCTCTACCAGATCATTTTCATGCTTTGCACAGGTCCAGACGTAGACTCCTTCACGTGCCTGCCCAGAACTTTACACACGTCTGTCACTTATTGATCAGGGGAGAATAGGCACAGAAACTACAAAATACTTTCTCTCCAGCTGTTGGCCTTACGGAAATCGACTTGGGTGGCAGCAGCGGACAGCACTTTCAGGGCGGTGGTACAGCCAGCTGCCTCCCATTTTTCAAACCGATGGTTTGTCAGGAAAGACGCGTGCCTGGATTGAACGGTGGCTCTCCAGCTTCTGCTTCCACCACTTCCACCTCTCCTTGCCTCAAAGGCATGAGGTTGCACATGGTGGTTGTCGAAGCATTTGGTAAGCCTAATTTGGGCCTTTAAAGATGCAAGGGGAAACTTGGCCGTTGTCCTGGGGGGTCTGGTGGGTAGTTGGGATGAGGCCTTAGCTCCCCTTGGAATAGGTGGGTCCCAAGACCCTTGGATTGGTGTCTCCCTGCTTTCCAGTCCTTGGGGCTCTCTGGTTGAGTGAGGAGGCCCAGGACAGGGAGCCAAGCAAAGGCCACCACAGGTGCTGGTGGAGAGAGAGGACGAGAGACGCTGATGGAATACTAGCAGGAGCCCACCTAAGGGAGCCTATCAAGGCACCCTTATCATGCTACGGGGTCAAGAACACCTAGCATTTATAGGCAAGCCTCAGTGTGCCTGAACCTCATTGGGTGAGAGGCAGCAGGCCTTCTCCATGCCGACCAGAATCGCACCTTCCAGAGGTTTGAGTGGCCACAATATTGTCCTCCTTTAGACTGACACACACACACACACGGCTCTTTCCCTGGGCTTTCCCTCTTTCCCTCCCTTTCAGGAGCCAGGAGTCCAAGGCCACCTTTCTTCTTGGGTTTGTAAGTTCTGCACTGCCCTGGTCACTAGGGAGGGGCGGCATGCTTGCAGTTCCTCTCCCTCCTTCCCTTGGAAGAATTGTCACCCCCCCCCCCCAGCCAGGAATCACTGGGCAGTGGGATAGGGACTGGAAGTTGGAAAACCTTTTCGGCCTGCTATTTTCAGTGCGCAACTCAATACAGACCTGTCTATATTTAGTTGCTGGAGAAATAACTTTATAATCTTTCTGAATGTCTCTTTGGCTTGTTGTCCATTCTGTTTTCTAAGACTTCAGGAGTAATTCACGAGGAAAATTCTTCTCCGTCTTGTAACCGGCAGGAAAAGCTGTGTGGATTTTCATTGAGAAGCAAAGTAGTCAAAAAGTGGTTGTATTGGACAAAAGAGAACATAAATAACTGGCTGTGGAGGTTCAGCTTATCTTGGGACTCATAAGAGCTTTGCGTTGTAAATCTTCTTTCGAAGCTTCTGGTGTGCCTGATGCAGCCATGGAGTGGACCCCTCCCCCGTGTGTGCCAGCGAAAGGATCCCTGAAATAGTGCAGGAAAGAAAAAAACAAACAGGTGTCTTAAAAGAGAATGAGAAAGGAACCTGGTGCCTCCCAGCAGAATCCGTGGCAGGTCCACCTGTGTCCATAAGGGTCTTGGGAGAAGGAACGCCCAGCAAGCACGTTGATTGCAGTCTGCAGCTCCAACTCTTAGGGAAGCCAACTCCCCACGTAGCCAAGGAAGAGGCAGGGCTTAGGATCTGCTTTGTGTACAAACCCTCCCAAGTGGGGCCTTGGCTGTCTCCAGGGAGCCCCTCCTCCTGCCAGCCAGTAGAGACAACTGGATTTGAACGGACCAAAGTCTGAGTTGGTAGGAAGGCGTTTCCTATAAACCTGTTCTGGGAAACTTTTTACTGATGGATCGTGTCAAGTTGTCAAAGTCAGCAAACAGATTTTGCCAATAAGTGCAGGTGGTGAGTGCCTACAGCTTATAGGATGGAA